GCACAAGCTTCATTCCAGTTTGGGGAAACTGGATGAGCCTCTTTTGGGTGTCCACAAAATTTTTGGGAGGCTTGGTCCTGATGCAAAGTGGTTAAGGCTATGGCACCCACACGGGCAGAGTCAGTACCTTCTGGTTTTGAGGGTTGGGTAATGATTTCTCTTCACTTCTGAACCCTTAAATCTATTTTTAGGAGGTACACTGTGGCTGGGTTCACACAACATGCTAAACCTTCAATCCAGGCTAACAAGACACATACCAGGTTAAAGCAAAATGAATAGATTTAGCTTTAACCTGGTGGCCTCTTTCACGTAACAGATTCAGACAACAGTCGAGTCCCAAAAACTAGCCAACACCGTTTCAGCCTAATCTAATCCACTGTAGGAACTGGTTCCACGTGTCTCGTTCAACTCCCCACCCCTGGGAATACTGTGCTGTAGCAGGAAATTGTCCCACTGATTTTTTTGAAGCTTTTCACCCTTCGGAGCTCATACAAAGATTGCAACCCCAGCATTTGACAGCCAACTTCAGAACCATTGTGTGATTTCTTGCTGAAAAGTCAAGTGTAACTCAGCTTCTGTTGGGCTTAACGCAGTTGGAAATGTTTACTCCGCCCCCCCCCCCAAAAGCAAGGGGGAAGCTTGAATATCTGGCACTTGTTCTATCCAAAAATATCATTTTATCCCTGCTCTTCCTATGGTAGCCCTCAGCCACTGGCGAGAAGAAAGAAGTTGCAACTCTCAGATACTGAAATCGGAATTATTCAGTCTGGCTTCCCCAAGCCACTGGCTTTTAAAGATGAGCATTTCCTCTTCCAGCTGTTTCTCCCCTCCCTTCTTTGCATGTAATTAACAGCGACTCCCAATTTAATTAACAGCTTCTAGGGAGCCCCAGCCAAACCCACATCCAAAGTTCCAGCAGACCACAGGGCCTTTGTCTGCTCTCCATTTATCTTCCCCCTCCCTTGTCAACAATTGCTATTGGGGTGAGTTTCTGAAAGGGAAGCAGGACATGCTAATGTCACAGACGCCCAGCCGGGCCAGGCTTCTGGCTCCACTGCTGATGATGCTCAAGAGCAAGGCGCCCCGGGATGAAGGCTGGGGTGGGTAGGTTGTGCTTGCCTGCTAGGGGAGGCTCCCCCAGAACTGAGGATGGGACAACCAGGAGAAGTAGAAGAGCTGGAAGCCAAAATCCTTCCACGTGATCAAGACTGGGAGAATCCAGATCACTTTCTAAGAGCAGAGGCCAAGGTCCCAGCTTCAATTCCATGAAAAAAACTCCTGGATATGGAGAGATATAGGTTGAAAGCCCAGCAGGAGCGCCCAATGTTTGAGATTCAGGAGAGACTCCAGGAGATGCGGCTTGCAGACCCCTTTCCTTCCTTCCTGCTGTGTCCTCTGCTTGCTGTCCCCTCCCACCCAACCACAGGAGATCCCAGCCGGCATGGGAGATCTGCGCCCTTGCATGGCATCACCTCCATCTCTGATGTACAAAAACCAGGGCTACCAGGCACATGCCGAGTTCTGAGGAAGAAACTTGAGGTTTTGGTTTCAAAAGGGACCAAAAGACCACCCAGCCCTAAGCATACAGAGAATACCTCCATTTTGTGAGAGGACAGCCTCCTCGCCTGGTGGGCTGTAGAATCAAATTCCTCAACTTGCCTAAGGAGAGGTCAGTGCTGTGGTCTTGCACGGCTCACAGCCCTCTCTCAACTAACGTTGCTCCTTCAATCCACTTAACTGGGGCAATTACAAACCGAATGGTTGTGTTCCCTAACATCCTAAGTAGGTTAGTTTCTCAATGGTTTCCCCTAAACTAGCCCATCTCAATAGTTTACGGTCAACATATTGGGTAAACCCTAAAAATAGGTTAATTCAGGAATGAGATGAAGTGTGTTGCATGGATGTGTCCAACAAGGGGAGGGGAGCTCCGTTTCACTCTGGGTGGGTGGGTCACCCATTTTGGATTAAACGTGTGTGATGCACATAGAAAATGGCGGAGCTTCGATTCCAAGGCCACGGCCACCATCTTGACTTTCTTGACCATACCCTGTGGACACCTGATTTCTTTTCCTACCGAGCATCACCTCTCCTCAAAGACACCAGCTGTTGAGGCTGCATGGTGGGAGGCTAGAGCAAGAGATGGAAGTAGACACCCATTCCTTCCTTAACACCCCTTTTTATTTCTCATACTGGCCACCCTGTTTTGTCTCTCCCAAGAAGCTAGTTGACTACAGGGAAGAGAAACATCACTCCTACCAGAAACTGGAACAGATTTCTTCCAGAGATTTCTGGAAATGGGGCCATGGGCTGCAGGCCACTCTCTGGCTGCAGGTTGACCACCCCGGTTGAGGGTACAGAGCAGCAGGAATTCTGTGTTCCTCTAACAAAGGGTTGGAAACAAGCAGCAAATGCAATTACGTACACCCATATTGTGCTAGAACACACCTGTTACTGCATACTAAGAGTTTGGCAGGGTATGTTTCTGACTCTCTGTTCTCAATATCTGACAGTTGGCCAGGAGGATAGCATTCTGGTTGAACCAGTACACAGGCTGGGTAGAAACACTAGGCACGTCCTCATCGTAGCTTCTCTCCCCTCCTCCTCCTCCTCCTCCTCCCTTGTGCCAGGAGAGTGGCAGAAGCATGCCTCTTACAAAGAGGCTGGGAAATGGCACAGCACCAACCAGCCAGTGACTCCTCCCAGGATCCTGTCTGTAACCGTTCTTTTCCTTCTTCTCAGTAGATATGAAGGATCTCTAGGAGGTTCCTAGCTGAGGCCCAGCAATCTGGAACTACCACGTAACCTCCCCTGGCACCTGGAAACCTCCATGCCCCAACTGATTTTTTAAACTTAATTCATTCGTAAACGTAACTGGGGATGCTGGCATGCTGCAAAGCTTAATTCCAGCCTGAAGCATCATCTTGGTTTCCAGGCGTGCCTCTGGATCTTGCCTGAGATGAAGGCACTCTTTCAAAAGAAGCCCAACAAGCTCCAGCAACTGAAAGGGCTTTGGTTACAATGACACTCACCCAGCCAGAAAAATAGACAAAAGCAAGTTGAGATAGGAAAGGGTGTCTGGAAGGACCAGAGAACCCCACCATTTTGTTTCCTAGTAAAAAGACGTTGTGTGACTGGCCAGGTCCACCATGGCAGCCGTAATGTGCTTTTAGAACTCTAAAGAGATTGGAGAAGCCTCCTGACCAAGGAAACCATGGCCAATGAATCCGTTAGGGGTCCACTCAAGTCTATATTTCATGGCCAGGAGGACACTTTTCCAAGTAAAAAAAGAAAAGCATGGCAATCAAGACCTTCAGAACCCTTGAGAAATGCTTTCTTGCCTTCACCTTTCGAAGGATACCAGCGTCCCAGGTTCCCTTAGCTTCTTTACAAGAGAACCAAGCTGAGACTGCTAATGGCTAAATGGCAGTCCTTGAATTTGCTACCTGATGTTCTTGTTTCCTTTACCAAGTTCTGTTGTGATTCTCCTCCTATTCTTCTCATGCTATTCTGCCTCATTGCCCTCAGTGCTCCTCTCATTCATGTCTTGGACTCCTCTTTAAGAACGCTGAGCATTCTTAAAGAAAATTTCCAAGGGCAATAATGCACCACTACCACCACTGGGGCTGATAATACGACACCACGCCAGCAATTCCAGCTCTGTTTCCTCTGAAAACTGATGCAAGGCAGGAATGAAGGAGAAATTAAGGTCAGAGAGCCACAGGGGAAAAATTAAACTGTTAACCCAAAGTTGCTTGCCTTGCTATTCTTATTGAGGGGTGGAGCGTCATACCAACTCTCAGATTATTTCAAACTTCAAAAGCCTGAATGGGACTCTTCAAAGCTTGAATACCATGCTTATGAAGTCTAAAAAGTGGGTATACGTTTAAAGGAAAAATGCACAACTCTATTCCTATCATATCTTCAGTGTTATCACCACCATAACCACAGGGACTAGAAACACAGTTGTTGAAAGAGGGCTGTTTTAAAACCTTCATTTTTAGATAGTACAAACGTAGGTTCATCCATTAGTTCTGCAATGCCAATGTATAATTTAAAATAGCAAAGGAAGTGAGAGGGTGACCTTAGAACCTCATGCTATTTTCTTCAGGTTGATACATATTAATTTTAGGAACTAGATGATCCATCTTAAAGTCAGCAGAGCTGTGGCTTTCCCATCAGATTCATGGAAACATCTACAGGAGTCTCAGTAAGAGGCCATCAGAACAGGTCCTACCTACCTATCTATCCATCCACATGTCTGCCACCAGCATGATGGGTTCACCACTGGTAGTCCTGTGTAAGGATGATGCTCAGTTAGATGTTTAGTCAAAACATGAGACAAAGGAGATGAAAATGGGAAAAGTCCAGGTAAAACTAAGGATGGAACCTAAGAATACATAGGAGCTGTAACAGTAATGACCCTACATGATGTTTTACGGGGAATACACCCGTTGCCACCAACTTGTCATGTTTTTTTTGATCAATTAGATCAGTGTTCCTCAACCTTGGCCGCTTGAAGATGTGTGGACTTCAACTCCCAGAATTCCCCAGCCAGCCAAGACTGGCTG